AAAGAGTGAATCAGAATTACTCCGTGCAATCTAACACAGAGTTGGACTGCCACACTGGTGGTTCTCCTTCCACACGCAAATGTTTTAATCAGAAACTAAGCCTGTCTTCACATCTGACTGTATACCAAAAAAAAGTTATTTTCTGCTGGCCTCTAAATGGTTGTGTTATGTTCCTGATACCTTTAGATGTCTCTCTGTGTGTGAATATATATGTATTTTTAAACTTTTTATCTCTGAGGTGATTCCATTCAGAGATGGGTAAAGTGACGCTTGAACACGCAGTGCGTGGTTTGCACTGAACATTTTGCAAGCTTGCAAAAGTTTCTCTGGGTGATCTGAAAAATACCCTTTTATTCTGTACAAATATTTTATACTTCATATTTCTGGCTGTGGCTTGATACTGTTAAACTCAATAGAAAACTCATTCACTTCTGTCTGTGTGTGTGTTGGCTTAATTTATCATAAAAATACCAGATTGTTCTTTGCAGATTCCCTTCTGCCAAGACCAAAGTAAAAAGTGGTGTCTTCCATTAATGACTTGCTAGAATATTCTCTAGGCTTTTTGATGATGCTTGTAAAACAGAAGTATATTATTTAAATAAAATATTTATTGTAAAGTTTTTTGAAAACTTGAGCTTTCCTTAGCAAAAGTTGTTTTAATTTAGAAAAAAATACTTGTTCATACTTAAGCAAACAATTAAGAAACTTTCAAATACAGTCAGCCGTAATCCAGATAGAAATCATTAAACTTTTGACAGTTGGAGCAATCAGGCAGAGATATAGTTTGTAATTTAGAGAGACCAGCTTAAAAGAGAAAGTGAGACACCTCTCTTTTGAATTTCTTGATTCTCCAATCATTAATTTAAAAATACTTCTGGGAGACTATTCCTGCGAACTTTTGCTTAAAGTTCTAATTGAGAAGCATTCTGCAGATCACCTTGAAGGACTTGGTTCTAAAATGTACTAAGCTCTTTCTGTAAAGGTAACATTACTAACAATGATATGGTACTGTATGGTTGGTCTTAGTAAACTGAACAGAGGAAGCAGTGTACTGAGAAAACACCTCCTTCTGATTTCAGTGAGGTCTGCTGTTGTAGATCACCTTAGGAAAATGGATAATGAAATAGTTACTAGTGTTACACATTGTATAATTGGTTTACCTCTTCTTCTGTTTTCTTCTGTTACTGGTTGCATCGTTATTAGAGTATTTGTTCCCTCACCAGCTTCAGAAATTTCAGCTTGGTGTATCAATAAGCCTTAGAACCTAGGTATGTGTGCATTGTTTTCTGTTCAAAGAGACAGTTTCCAGACACATTTTCATATTAATTTTTTGTCATCCTTGACAGGTATGTGCAGAGCAGAGTACTAGACTGGGGATGTAGCAGTATTCAAAACAATAGCATAGACATACAACTAGGAGAGAGAAGGGATACTTGGGTGTTTAAAAAACAGTAAAACCCAAAGCCTGTGGTGTTTTCTTTTTTAACTCATTGTTCACATTTTAACTTTAGTAAATGAACTTTTAAACTGAGTTGTAGTTTTCTTTTTCTCTTTTCTCCCCCATTCCTTCTCCCCCAGTCCTTCCTGGATGACTGTGTACGTTTTTTTCCGAAGTTTGTGGTCTATGCCGTGTCTTTACTATCGGTACTTTGACTGAGTAACTTTAATTTGAGCATTGCTATTATCTATACTACACGTTATGTTGCTGTAATTTTTTTTCTTCTGACAGCTTAATTAGGCAATGGGTAATAGCAACTACCTATGTGTATATAAGTATGTATATACATTCAGAATATCAGTGGCTGGATACATGCAATGGAGTGATTAAGCAAAAGTGTGATTAGTGTAGACTAATGACTCACCCAAGCGTAGGCCTTTAGATTTAAAGGGGGGAAAAATCTGCCATAGTGTTAAACTGGAAAATTTTAATATGCATAACTGTTTTAAACTGTGAAACAGAATCAAGTTGCAGTTCTGTACACTCTAGATGTCTGATAGCTGTTATAAAATGGATTGTCTTTGGACGTGGCCTTGGGCAACGTGGTCTAGTGGGAGGTGTCCCTGCCTATGGCAGGGGGGTTGGAACTCAATGATCTTCAAGGTCCCTTCCAACCTAAGCCATTCTATGATTCTATGATTACTTGTGTTGGATTGGGTTAAATAGGGCAAGAATGAGTTGTTGCCTGTTTGGAAGCTACTGTTCTAAATCTTTCTTATGTACTTTATGGAAAATAGGCAAAATTTCTTCATCTGTCAGGATAAGGTGTTTAATTTCCTTACAGTCATCCATGACTACAGCAAGAACGATATTGAACAGTTTTTCCTCTATGTATGCACGTTAATAATTTTCCTGCACTAGGGAAATAAAAATTTTATCAGAAATAAAGAATGTGGCTCTTGTTTCAAGGAATAATGTATGGTCTTCCTTCTGGACATAGGTTTATTTGGGTTTTGTTTGCTTGCCAAATAGGTAGGCATTGTGTGAGATCAACTGCTAATTAGTAAATAGTTGGATAGTAAGTCTTGTTAGCAAAAACTTTGTTGTTTAGCGTATGCTTATAAGAAGGGCAGAATCTAGATGGCATCAAGAGTCAGATTTGTTAAGGTGACATGCTGGATTAAAATTTGGGACAAAATCAGTCTAACCATACCATAAGCATGTATGTGTTGGTCATGTTTATGACATACAGTGAGCACTTCTTCAGAGGACCAACAGTCCATCCTAGAGAAGTTTTTGAAGGTGATTTATATACAGGTTCCTTTCCCTGGGAAACTGACAGTAGATTCTATCAAGATGGGAAAAGTCCTTGTCAATGGAAATTTCAGAGAAGCGAAGTCTTTTGGGACAGCATCATATATGCTGCTATTCAGTTCATATCCATTTCTGACCAAAGGTAAGATGCTGGGACATGTTTCTGGCAAAGACAGAACTCTCTCCTCATCTAAATTCCACGTTAAAATTTGACACCTTCTCTGGTGACTTCATAAGAATTAAAACAAAAAAGCTTACTCTCCTGAGAGAGACCCAGACCCGTAAGTCTGGTCTTACCTGTGTTCAAACTACTTAGACTATAGGGTTTTTTTAAGGTACATTGACAAGAGACTGCAGTAAATGCACGCGATTTGGGCTAGTGTTACCTGCTGGGGCTGAATTCGGGAAGACTGTCAAACTCAGAGATAAGGTGAAAAAAATTATCAAGGTTCTGAATTTGCTGTGACTAGACTTTCTGGGACGTAAGTAAACTTGCTTAAAACTATCTTGGCTATCTTCAGCTTCTGTTGCAACGCGAGCCTACCCTTAATTTTTTTTTACCATGTCAAATCCATTGTTAGAGGGATACAAATATTAAATTGTATTGCTAAAATCTGTTAAGCAAGTTAATTAAAGATGGCAAACTTTCCAGTTTATTGGACATTAGTTGTAAATGCTGTAGAAAGTCAAAGCAAGGTGGGAACAATTATTTTGGTACACAGTGTGGTATAGTAGGAGCAGCAATTAGTACAAAATAACAAATATTACTTAAACAGTATGGCTATGACATTGGCATTTCTTTTGAGAAGTGAAAAGGGACTGTGGAGCTTGTACTGCATGTGAGACTTTTCCTTTGACAGTATGTGTTCCCCAAAATGGAAGTAATCACCCTGACTTCAAACCTTCAATAGAAATCTAAAGAAACCAATCTTCCTTTGGAGAGAAAATAGTACTTGCAAGCAACTCTGTAAAGCCAAATATATTGTTGAAAAGATGTAAATATAAATAGCAAAATCAAACCCGGAGTGTCTGGTACTTGCAGCTTTTTGGGACTTGCTCATTCAGTACTTACCAAGTTTAATATTGCTTGATCCTGCATCACTGTAAAACGGGAAATCACTGATCCTGGTTCTTTGGAGGTTAATGGAAATCAGAACCATTGAACAAAGCAGCCTATGGCTTTACTTGCTGCTCTTAAAAGTTGAAATGGGTTTCTAATATGATTTTATAAAGCATAAAGTGTTTTACATTACTTCAAGTGTATCAGTTATTGGAGGAAATGTAACTACGTGCATACGTGATAGATGTTAGGTGCAAATATTAAACTTTTATTTTAGACTAATGTATCAATTTGTTGTATGAATAAATATAATGAACTATTAAAAGTTCTTGATTTGTCACTCAGCAAAAATTAATTAAGTTCATAGAAGTCTACATTTTGAAAAAATAATATTGGAACTCTTTGGGAGAAAAGTGTTATCTTAAAATGCTGATGTCTTTACTAAGGTGAAGAAGTACTGGAATTCTGACCATGAGGTAACATGAAAATGGTCACCAATGAACAAGGTCCCTCAGCTAAAAAAATCTCTGCAAAGGGGGGCATCTAGCCTGATGTTCACCTTTAAAAGGGTTGTTTTTCCCTTTCTTCACAGCAGGTTTTTTTTGCCTTCTCCTCCAGTAGAGATAAGAACTTCATATCTTGCTCCGAAGATGATGGGCCACTCCTGCAGCCTATAGAAAAATAATCTACTTTTTATTGCCTCTAGAAGTAGTTTTTTCTCTGCTTTGTGTAAAGAGCTACAGAGTTTGTTGAGGTGTCATCAGACAAGAGGAAAGAAATGGGGGATCCATTCTGTGAACTTTGTAAGATGCTACTGAAAAAGTTTTTAGAAACCTTTCTTTCCAGTAGGTAAAGTTTGTGTTGTGTTACTGGTGGTGAAATAGTGTACTGTTCATAAATGAAGTACAATATAATCTCTTCAAACTACATAGTGCTTCAGTAAATAGGTATGCTTTAAAAATGTTTATTTAATCATCAAGTTTACAACAGTGCTGTGCAACTGAAATTTAGTCCATTTGTCTTAAATTAACAAAGGCTGCATATTGAGTCTGTGCACTCTTACCAAACAGGTAGTGCAAATCAGCAAGCCAAAAGAGTCCTGGTACTGAGTTCTCATGAACATCTTGATTCCCAGTTTGAATGGGAATTGTGGATTCTTGCTTTAACATGGTAGCTTCTTGCATGCACGTGTGTGAGAGGGTCATCCCATTTCCATCGGCTGACTGCAAAGCATACTGATCTTTTATAGCTGGCGCAGGCTCTTGCTTAGTTCACGTACCTAAACCATCCAGTTCCCTGTTGATGGTCCCATTTCTTCTCTCACTGATCATGTGTGTCATCATTTGTTCTAGCTGTACCCATTAGACAAACTTGTTTGGTGGTTAACAGAGACATTTTTTTCAAATAACAATGTTGTAAACAGTGAAAATCCGTCTAGGGCTGCTGAAGATCCTTAAAATAGTATCTGTAGGTTGTTTTAAGAAATCAATAAAGGAAGAATAATAATTGGGTTACAGAACAACATGAGTTTCGGATTATTCATCATTTAACTTTATTTTGATCTGGGAGGTTCTTCAGTGGGTTTTTCTTAGTGCAAATGTGGATATATCAGATTTAGTGACTGCAGTGGAAACAACTAGGATGTTTTGTCTGCAGAAGAGGAACTCTTACTTAGAAGAAGCGGAAAACTATGATACTCATTTCATAATATCTGTGCATATCTACAGTTAACCATATTTTTGTTATGAAAATATAACTTAGTTCTAGGCCTCATAGTCTATGGATAGGGTTGTAGAAATTTAGAAAATAATCCATTAAGTCATTTGCTGCCCCTTCACATTTCACTTCCTGTTTCCCTTGCTGGTTTTGGTTACCCCTTTATCGTGCCGGCACACTGCCTAACTACTGTTAAACTCTTGTTTTCAGGCTTTTATACAAATTCACTTCAGTCACCACATGTTGACTTTCAGATAGACTAGGACAGAAAGGCTTAGGGAAATTATGTACAGTAAGAAAGTATATAAATCTATAATGTGTAAATACTGTAACACTTGCTGAAAGATCTGTCCATTACCTGGACTTGGCTGTTTTGCCTGCTTGTAGCTCCTGTAAAGTTGCAAATCTTGGCTACTTCAGTGTTACGTTGTCATGGTTTTGGCTGGAATGGAGTTGACTTTCTTATTAGCATCTGGTATAGTGCTGTGTTCTGGGTTTGAGATGGGAATACTGTTGATAGCACCTTAATGTTCCTGGCAGTTGCAAAGCAGTCAAGGCCTTTTCTGCTGCTCACATCGCCCTGCCAGCGAGTAGACTGGGAGTGCACAAAAAGTCGTGAGGAGACACAGCCACGACAGCTGACATCAACTGACCAAAGGGATATTCCATACCATGTGATGTCATGCTCAGCATATAAATCTGGGGAAGAAGAAAGAAGGGGGAATGTTTGGTGTTAGGGTGTTTTGTCTTCCCAAGTAACCATTACGCGTGATGGAGCCCTGCTTTCCTGGAGATGGCTGAACACCGGCCTGCCCATGGGAAGCAGCGAATGAATGCCTTGTCCTGCTTTGCTTGCATGTGTGGCTTTTGCTTTACTTACTAAACTGACTTTATCTCAACCCACAAGTTTTCTCACTTTTACTCTTCTTACTCTCTGCCCCATCCCACCATGGGGGGAGTGAGCGAGTGGCTGTGTGACCCTAGTTGCTGGCTAGGGTTAAATCAAGACATTTGTGTAAATGATGTTATATCTGAGTATTCTATGTGAGTATTCTGTACATCTGTTAAATTCTTTCTGAAGTAATCTGCCTTTTTTTTAGGAGTTATTGGCTTTGGATATGTTGTGTTTTATGCAATCCCAACTTGAAGTATTAATGTTTCTTCTCTTTCCAAGATCACGTGGTCGTGTGATAATGAGGTTAATTTTAAAGTTAAAACTGTAAACAGTGGTTCTTACGTTGGTATTTGTAATTGCTGCGTATGTATACACTTACAAACGAAGTTTCTTGAGTTGCTGTAACAAAGACCACAGTATTTATTTGAAAACCTGAGAATGAATTAATCAATATAAAGCAAAACAGTCAATATCTTTAGTATGAAAAAACACTTCTCTAAACTGTAAAAGGTTTTAATTACATCTAAAGAGTCCTCAGTGTGATCTTCAACAGAAAAGTCTATGTAAATTATTTGTCAGTGGTTGTCTGCCAAAAGAAACCTAGGGGACATGGCAAATCAGACAGTTGAAGTTAATTAGTGTTGTGTGTGCATCACATGCATAGAGATTTAAAAGCCACCAGCACTACTGTGTGATGATTCTTCAAAATAAGATCTTTGGGAAATAATTTTCTGAGTTTGGGTCTACAGTGTGATTTGCCTGTGGGATCTGGAGAATGAATTTTTTACATGTCCCATCAAAACTTGCAGCAGAATAAAAAGTGGTGTATCTTTTTAAAAGTAGTTTAAAAAGTTTTATTTGGAAATGCATAAAGGTATAACATCTGTCACAAGTCATGGTAGCAGGTAGAAAAATACACTTGTTCATTACTTTTGCTTGTGCCAATTTACTCAGACTGTTCTACCTGTGTAGGACTCAAATTACGGAAAGTTTTTTTTTTTTTAAAGGTGTTGTGTTAACAGTAAAATCTAGTGACTTTCCAACAATGGAGAATAGTGTTAATTCTGAGACTGATACAGGATCAAACATAATTAGAGAGGTCTTCAGCTTTTCTGGAAATCTTCTATTTGGGAAGAAAGTATTTCTGTATTTTTGTTTTGCTTTGTAGATAAGAAGTTTGTAAAATGGAATTATCCATGGTGTTGTTGTATAATACCTTCAGCATATAGGAATTGTGTACTTGTAAAACAAATAAGTATAAGATATATATCTTTCAACACTGATTTAAATCATCTAACCTTGGAAATGAAAGCAACCTACACTATTTTCTTTGCCTGATGGCATATCTGAAACAGTAAAAATGTTGCATTGCCTTAAAAGTAAAAATAAATATTATAAGGCTAAAGAAGGTACTTAGAAAAGGAATTACAGTTTCTATACAAATTCTTATTTTACTATATTAAATACTTAATAATGAACAATAGTATGCAGTTTAGCTGTTAACCAGAGATGGGTGAATTGTAACTCCTGACTGCTATCAGTTTTAAAATAACTTCATTTGAAATACTTGTTGAAAGCATACTGAAGGAATGAACTGCATTAATCACATCATTATGAAAGAAAAGATTTTATGCAGATATTTGTGTTTCCCCAAAATGTCAAATTTCTCCATATTGGCCTCCTAAGAAGGGAAAAAGCTGGGAGAAAAAGCCTAGGGAATGTTGTTAGTTTTTTTCCCTGTGAGAAATGGGGAACTTGCACATCTTTCTAGTATCTGCTAATTTAAAAAGCAAATTAAAATACTCTTTCTCTGGACAGTAGCATGATATCGTCCGCTGTGTGCTATATCACCGTTTGAATCGTAATTCTTCCTCTTTGGCAGTAGTAGAATGTGTGGGTGGGATGTAGATCCAGATTCTCCACACTGGCTGCCCTTTCAATATACTGAACGTTCCCTGTCAGAGAGCTACCTACTGGTTTTTGTTTTAAACATAGAAAATATTTAGTTTGCAAGCATATGTCAAATGGCTCAGATGCACAGAGCAGTTGCCAGCGATTGGAGATGATGTGGCCTGACCACTTTGCCAAGCTAACGAGAGAACTTTCAGTGCTGGGTTTTGACTCAAGAACAGCATCAAGTTTCTGATGCCTCACCAGCAATGGTGTGGAAGATATGCAGGTGAAGGAAAAAACAGTTGATATAAAACTCGTCAACAGTTCTTCAGAGAAGCATTCTCAAAGGGAGGGATACACTAAGGTGAATAACTTTGGGTTGAAATATATTTGTCAGTAATAATCTAATTCAACTGTACAACATGCAAGCTTTTGTTAAAGTTACTGAAACACATAGCATTTCAAATTGCCATCTAGCTGGTAATAATTTTCTCAGTATTTCAATCCTTCATTTTTATCCTGTAGACATCATTGCACTTGTGTGAATAAATACAGTTCTTTCAAAACAGTAATATAATCAGCAATTTGAGTATTATATAGAAATATATTTAATTGCCTTTTTTCTTTTTTCTTTCCTATAGGGCAGATCATACCAGAAAGAAGGTTTGTAGAAGCAATAAATCGTCAAGCATATCAGTATGAAATGGGTGACTTTCCAGCAGAATGGGAAGGTAAATCCTGAACATTTTTGTTTCATTTCAAGATAATTTTGACATTGAATGTAGATTCAATGTATTTAATGGAAAGCCTTACTATGTGAATGGGTTGTCTATTATCTTTCATTTTGAGTAATGCAGGTTTTTGTTTAACTGCATAGTTACTATGAATTGTTAAAGTAACCCCTTTACAAATAGGATAAATTCTATTTACAAAATCAGTACTTACTGGAAATGTAAATAAAGCCTGTATGATCATGATTTTCTCCTATTAAATGTGAAAATTTTTGTACCTGAGGGGGATCTGATAGAATAACCAAAACTAAATGTGTTACACTTCCTCGTTATGCCTTCACTGCAGTGTTAATTTGTAGGTCAGTTGAATTATTGGTAGCACAGTGATGAGGCTTTTTTCTTTATGGTGGTATTTGGTTTTCTATACTCTTCCTCACACAATCTTCTAGGGAGTTGGAGAACCTGGTAATAATTAACCATTTTTTCCCACTGCTACTGATGAAAAATTTGTCTGAAAATTTGGGACATAAAAAGAAATTCAGGGAGGTTAGAAAAGTTTCTTAGGATTAGCTAAGCAGCCCTTGGAGAAAGACAGAAAGCAGAGAGGGAGTGTATGTTGCTTCTTGAGGCTGTAGGAGTTCAAGCCAAGTGTGGGGTTAAATATGGCTTTAAATCCAGGACTGTATAGCATAAGCAAGGAACCCCTGAAATAGTAGGTGGAGTCTACCTGTCATTTAGCATGCTTTTTGGGGAGAATAGTATCTAGGCGTCTCCCAGAAGTTGGTGGGTTTAAATCAAACAAACTTAAATTTTAAGCAGTGTGTAGTTAAACTGTGGAATTCCCTGTCATTGAATATTCTGCTTGCTGGAAGTTTGCATGAGTTCAAAAAGTGATTAAAAGAATTTGTGGAAGAAAAATCCTTCTCATACACAGACATTACTGTGGTTTAATGTGTCGGTGTGCTCCAAATTAATGGAAGCCACAGAGTGTTTTGAGGAAATATCGCAATGTATTTGCTTTACCTCACTCTTTATTTTGTGCTTACTGTTAGCCCCTGAGGGAGATGATACTGAGGTAAGAGAAAACTTTGGTCTCGTTATATCCCTTCGTGGAGTCAGTAGAGAAATACCAAATGTTCTCATATTGCATTTTATCATTGTCATTACACTGATTCCTGTGACCAACTAAGGCTAGTATTAACAGTTAAATGCTTCTCAAAGGTGTTTCAGCCCTATTAGCGGCATTTGCCAACTGTGACAAAACCACAGTATCAACAGCTTCTGTCTTCTATTGCTGCAGTACCCACAGTTAGCTGGCAAGTCTTCATCTAGTTGCTTCTGATTCTTTATTGGTCCAGGATAGCCATCTTCTGAAGGACAGCAGCAGCCTGGTAATCTTGTCCTTACATCTGGTGCTTGAATGGGTATCTACCTTATCCAGCTTTCTGAAGGTCTGCTCCCTCATCTAAAAGTTCTCCAACCACTGCTGGTCATCTTAGGTCTCTGTCATACAATCATTCTGTCATGCCATCGTTCTGCACCACAAACACGGTGAAGCATATATAAAGCCTCACGTAACTCTGCTGTGAATGAAATCTCATCCAAGACCTGCTGCTACCTTTTAAGTGATGAAAATTGCAGTCCAATAGTCTCTACCTGCGCTTGGCTGGAATTAACAGAAAACAAAATGGACAGTCAGACTGTCTCAGATGAGTTTGGGCTAACCGCCCTTTCACAAAGGGTCTTAGACTGGTTCAAGCAAATTGCTATATGAACCTGTTCCTTAGGACTGCTGGAAGTGGTGTAGCACTAATAAGCCTGCACTGTATTTCGCTTCAGAAATCTTAGCACAAATCCATGTGATTTGATAGTGTGGTACATGGCAGAGTAAAGCACCAGTACAGGGGCCTTGGAGTTAAGGGTTAGGTACCCTGTGGTGTGGACTTGTCTAAAAAGATGCAGACCTGAGATGTGCTTTTGCAAATCAAAGCATCTTATTAAGGTTTGTTTTAAAGAAGAAAAGATAGTTGTCCAGTCCCATTTTATGAGCTGTGTTTACACTTTTAAAGCTTAACTTCCTCATCTTTGTAACTGTGTTTTTTTTCATTGTGGTTTTGTCAACACTAAATGGAAAGAATTCACAGAGAAAAGGAAAATTTACAGTTGGCAGATAGGTAAGTCTTTTCCTTTTAAGTACTGAATTTCTCTAGAAACAGAAAGAAAAGATACATGCATCTTTCTTTTCCCCCGTGAATTCCTTAAGCAGAATGGGTGTGTAGTGCATGTTTCTGACAGATGAAGTATGGGAATTCCACAAAAAATCTAACCTGTATTTTTTTGTCCAATGCCAATTTAAGCATTACTCACAGTGTTGTGGAAGTATAACTTTAAAAAAGCCAGAACTGGTACTTCTGCTTTGGGTATAGAGGATGTTCAAAGAACTAATGTGCCTCTGCTATATACTGGGGTGTGAATTAGGGATGTGGGATGCTCTGAACTTCAGTTCATCACTACTTCTTTTCTGCCTCCTGTAAAATGAAAAATTCTTAATGAGTAAGAAATGGGAAAGGATGGAAACAGTAGAGTTCAAATAATACTATAGAAGCCAGTTATCGGAGTGGAATCAGTTAAATACAAGGTTTTCAGGCACATTTTGCTGAAAGGCTCATTACAATTGTGTCCCTATTTTTTCCTCTTTAGATTGATCTAGAAGTTTCCCAGGCCCACAAGACCTTTGCTGAACTTTCACTCTATCTTCTGTCCAGACTCTTGAAAATTTCCCAGAGCATTCTTCCTGCGGGTGTTCGCTTTATAATTTGTGCTCTCATGGATGCTGATCATTCCGGCAAATAGTCTGAGGATTTGCAGAAGGATTTCTAAAATACTTGCTGTTTTCTCTGAACAGTAGAAAACAAATACAAGGTTAGAAGGCTGTATAATATTTCTTCCTTCTGCTTTCTCTTTACTCTTGGAAAATTTGTGGATTTTTAGCGTTCTAAATCCTCTCTACTCGTCACATGCTTACTTTCATCTCCAGTGGCCTTCTCTCCAAATCCACTTTGACATCTGCAGCCTCTCTGCTTCAGTTTTGGTGGTTCAGCATTAGCTGTCTCTTTTCCTAGCCTTCTCAGGCTTTTTACTTTAAGGACTGTGCTAAAGTTTCTGTTGCCTTATTTCTTCTACTTTTTCGTGGGAACTGCAGAGAGCTGCTTTCACCTGTGCTGTCTTTATTCTGCGAGGACTAATTTTTTTCACAGAATGGGATTGGAATGGACCTTTGAAGATCATCTAGTCCAACCCCCCTGACAAAGCAGGTTCACCTAGGGCAGGTTGGACAGGAATGCATCCAGGTGGGTTTTGAATATCTCCAGAGAAGGAGACTCCACAACCTCTCTGGGCAGCCTGTTCCAGTGCTCTGCCACTCTCAAAGTAAAGAAGTTTTTCCTTGTGTTGAGGTGGAATTTCCTGTGTTCCAGTTTGTGCCCATTGCCTCTTGTCCTTTCACTGGACACCACTGAAAAGTCTGGCCCCATCCTCTTGGCACCTGCCCTTTAGATACTTATAAGCATCAATAAGGTCCACTCTCAGTCTTTTCCAGGCTAAACAGACCTAGGTCTCAGCCTTTCCTCATAAGAGAAATGCTCCATTCCCTTGATCATCTTTGTAGCCCTCTGTTGGACTCTCTCCAGGCTAACTGGCCTGTAGTTTCCCAGGTCCTCCTCCTTGCTGTTTTTTAAGACTGGTGTGACATTGGCTTTCTTCCAGTCCTAAGGTACCTCTCATGTTCCCCGTGACCTTTCAGAGATGATGGAGAGCGGCTTCACCGTAACATCTGCCAGGTCCCTCAGCATTCATGGGTGCATCCCATCAGGGCCCATGGATTTGTGGGTGTCAGGTTTGCATAAATGATCTCTAACCCAATCCTCCTCAATCAAGGGAGAATCTTCCCTTCTCCAGGGTCTCTCTCTTACCTCCAGGGTCTGGGATTCCTGAGGGCCGGCACTATCAGTAAAGACTCAAGCAAAGAAGGCATTCAGTAACTGTGCCTTCTCTGCATCCTCCGTCACCAGGGCACCTACCTCACCCAGCAGTGGGCCCACATTTTCCGTAGTCTTCCTTGTGCTACTGATGTCCTTGAAGAAGCCCTTCTTACTGTCCTTGACATTCCTTGCCAGGTTTAATTCCAAGTGGGCCTTGGCCTTCCTTGTTGCATCCCTGCATGCTCTGACAACTCTTTGCTTGTGGATTATCTTTAATGGCCACCTGATTGAAAAGCAGTCCTCACAGCACCCTTTCTCTCCCCTTGTTTCTATACATTACACCGTGCTGATTAGAAAAGAAACTTCTTGTGAGCCCCCCCACCCCTGGAAGTGTTCACACCATCCCTGGAAGCGTTCAAGACCCAGTTGGATGGGGCTTTGAGCAACCTGGTCTAGTGGGAGATGTGCCTGCCCATGGCAGGGGGGTTGAAACTAGGTGATCTTTAAGGTCTCTTTCAATCAAAACCATTCTATGATTCTGTGATTCTATGACCAAAATGAATAAAAGTACTGTCCCTGAAAATGCTTAAGGGCATGAGTTCTCTGAGAAGAACTTGCACAAAACCAGGGACAAGGGATTGTTTAAGGAGTGGGAACAGGCTGTGGTGAAATTTGAAGAGGGCTGAATTAAATCTCATTGTGTATCTAAGACATTCAGCCTGGACAGCTGGTAAACTAAGGGGCTTATTTTGATGCTGTGTTTATCAAGTTATAAACATGTAATAAGGTAACCAAGACCAAGTAGAAAGCTATAAAGCAAGTAGATAAACCAATCATCCAGATTACAGACTCGGTCTGTGCAAGCTGTTTCTCAGACTCCAGAGAGGATGTTTGTGTATTAGTCCTGAGAGTTTACTGAATACAGGGCCACGGGCTTACTCCTTTAGGGTTTACCTGTAGTTTTTCACCTGAAGATGTTAATTTTAAGTGCTCCACAGGATTAAATTTCCTGTGTTCTCAGACCTGTGAATTTTACAAAAGTTCTGAATGTCCATTAAGGCTTTTGTAAAACTGAAACATGCTTAATATTAATATCTTCCGTCTTAGTGTTAGCTATTTGTACACAGAAAATTAAGCTGAGTTTCATTTTAAAAATCCAAAAGTGTGTTTCCTTTTGTACTGTGGTTTTGAATTTAGAATGTAATCCATACACACAATACAAATGTCACCTGGTTTTGTTTAGGTGAAGCTTCTTCTATTTTACTACAAAGTGGGAGTGCATGCTTTTCTTTTCCTTGGGCAATAGGGATGCACACAACAGATAACCTTTCTGTAATGCTAGTTATGAATGTTCACCTACTGTGGAATGTGCCATTTACCTCCTCGGGACATGTCAATAGTCCTCCTGAGAGGACATCAGTAATTTTACATACCTATAGACATTGATGAGATAGCATGCTTCATGCAGCATTTTATTGCCTGTCTACTCCTAGCATTTTATTTTTTTTTCTTTCCTGGTAACATTTAGTGATTAATGGGAGTCTTAATTTGCATGCTCACTTTTACGCTCATTACAGTGTGTTATGTGCCAGTAGGAGTCTTAAAGTTCAATGAAAATCTCATGCATACTAATAAGAATGCAAATGAGCACTGATGAAAGAATGCAAGGGTCTCAAGGTAGGAAATGTCCAGCTATCTTCCAAAATTCCTTTTAGACAAAAGTAGCATTATGGTGAGTACAGAATGCAGGAAGTGCCATCCAGATAAAATTAGAAGCAGCAGCATAATTAGTTGAAATGGAGGCAGTGATTTGTTTTGCCAAAGCTTTGTGGGGTAGGGAAGCATGTCTTGGTTGCACTCAGTACATACATGTTACCTTCTCTACTTTACCAGGTTTAAAACGTCTCGGCTGACAATGGTGAGGGCATTTTGTTTTGTTGGCGTAGGGAACAGGAGTGTTCATGTGGAAATCTTTTCCAGCTATAACTGTCACTGGTCACTTTTTAATTAAGTATGTGCCTGTGTGCATACGGTGTTCAAATAACATGTAATAAAGCACCTACCTGCCTTGCTGTCATCATCAAATATTTAACTGTGGTATAAATCTGTTCAGTAATTTAAACCTGCATTGACTAAAAGTGTAATGAAGAGCTCAAGGAAAGGTGGGAGAGCTTTTCCATTGCTAAATTATATACACTGACTGTATTTTTCAAAGTGAATGCAAAATGTCTTAATTTCAAGATATCGTTCACTTTAAAATCAGTACTAACTCAATAGCAAATCACTAGTTATATTTTTGTATACAGTCATTCTTGCTTTAATTGTTACCATGAATTTCTCATATGCCTGAGTTATGAGGTGTCGCTGTTTTTTTGAACCTTCTGTTGGATGCTCAAAATATTGTTGATAGCTTAAAAAAAACCTGAAAGGCTTTTAAAATTTTCTGTCGGAAAAGAGAACCACCTGAAAACTAGTGGGGATTAAATATATTGGAGTCCTCCTGTTCTTCTCCCCAAAGACTGAGCAGTGGTCAGGTGAATGATTAGGATAACGTATTGGTTTTGAAAGACTGATAAAACTGTTATATGCTAAAGTATTATATACTGAAATAAACTTAGTTCAGATGATCTTTTCTTTGCTCTTAATCTTGTAATGTATCTTGAGCTGTACTTTATGTAGAATATTTCAGAAATGGATTTGCATAAAGGCAATATTATATATTAAAGCTAACTAACTTCACCTTCTGGCTATAAAGAGATTTTAGTAAATTTTGTTACTGTATTTGTCCCTCAGCTACATAGCAGTGAAGAGATCTTTCATTAAATAACGATTTTCTAGTGCAGCTTGTTAGGGATGTTAAAATGAGTTTACCTGTAGTAATTTGGAAAACAGTATCCAATCTTTGTGTCAGCAAGCTTTATTTGGGGTTAAACTGAAAAAGATTTGTAGTCCTGACATTTATTACAAAGAAGGAATGTTGATAGCTCCTATAAAACCATGCATTCAAATGCTTGTTATAAGTGGAAAGAAAAATAGCACAATATTATAACTGTGTGCATTATTTATGTGTTTAAGTAGATACAGTCTGATAATGGAATGTTTGATATAAGACATCTTCCTAAATTAAGGATTGTTTTGTTGCTTTTGAGTGTTGGTACTAATTGAGATCTACTAATGAATGAAAATGTGTTGTGTAACGCTCCTTGCTTCACTGCTTCTGTTCACAGGACACGTGTCATTGTGTTGCCCTTCACTGTTCTATCTGTGGCTTGTTAAACCGAGGCAGATAATTAAATGATAAAATCTTTTAATAGAAGTATTCCATTCATCTGAAAATCATTAATCAAATAACTGCCTAAAAGTCCCATCCACTATTGAAAGAAAATCTATTGTAATGGTAGCAGAAGTTTCTAACTGCAGCTTAATTTTTGTAGGATTTCAAATTTTAAGATTTTTTCTTCAAGAGTCACTAATTGTAATTGGTTGAAGTTAAAATGCAGCTGGTGTTTTAAGGAAATACAGGCAATTTCAAAAAACATGAAGCAATTTTTAGGTGCCGAGAGCTGTGGAGTTGAAACCAGTGGTACTGTACTTCCATGTGACAGGAGCAAGTCCTGGCAAGGCAGAAAGATGATACTTTGTTGAAAGTAATCCCTTAAATTTTGATGGTTTGCAACGTAATTTTTTACAAAATATTTTAAACTGCTACTTTTCCTTTTTTTCTCCAGCCTTGTCTTTTATTGGTTAATATCCAGTATACATACTTCACTATACCTGATATCTGTACCCTTTTCTTGCTTTGCTGGATGATGTTGAAACTGTTGCTAGGTATGGACAAAGATGACTTCTGTCAGGAGGAAAGGCTTATGTGCCATGATTTTCTCTAATAGCATCACTGGTCCTCTTACCAAGAGTGTCTGCAAGGCTGCCAGCTAACAAGTGCCAGTCTCAGTCATGCCAGTTTTGTCCCTGGTCTTGCCAGATATTGCATTTGGAAATTCTTATAAATTTTACATGTTTGAAAGTGCTACAGGTACATGCAAAATGTTTTCTAGTTCTATAGATTTAATAGAAAGTCATTTAGTTGTATTTTGGATTATCTTAACAGGCTGTTTTTCTTTCCACTAACATGAAACTTTTGCAGAAAGGGTGATGTTGACTGTTCAGTGCTCAGTAACTTCTCCACAATGGCAAATTTAGTTCTAACCTTTGTTAGGACCAAAAGACCTCTGAGGAGAGCTGTCAGGGACTGCTTTTAAGAAATGGCATTTCAGAATGGTATTTAAAAGAACCCATCTTCAGAAACTGTCATCTGATAGACAAGAACCAAAAGTAATACCTTGCTTCATATCATTACAGGTGCTATACCATTGACCTTGAGTTAAGGCTGTTGGCCTTGCCATCATGGCTAAATTCCAAGCTACGTAATGCCATTTTGTCTCCCATAATTCCATTCTTATGTTAATTGGAAGCTATTCATCCTAAAACCAGTTTCATAATGTTGCTGAAGCAGAGTGGTGTTAGTGTTTCACCCTATGTGTAATTGCATTTACAGTAGCAAGGTGACATTCTGACTCTGTGCAGCTTTTAGTGTTTTGGACTTGCTGTCTGACTCATTCCCTAGTTCGCCTCAGAATACAACACAGATGATATTAGAAAATTAAAATTTGGCATAGTTCTTTCTTAAAGCATTTCTGAAACTTTATAGACCAGCTCAGACCAGGAGTTTGGGTGACAATGAAAACGTGGTTTTTGCTCTCATTTTCAAGCACAATAGCAGAAGTAGTCTTAATTATAAAAAAAAAAACCCATACAAAAGAAGATTTTGCCATGTCTCGGCACTTGGAACTTGCTTTCCTTGTGTTTGTCCTTCTGTTTGTTACTAGCCACTTGCATTCTGCTGCTCATTCATTTGAAAATTATGAGCAGAAAAAACAAATGTCTACAAAATATACAACGCAGTGCCTACCAATTGTGTGCATTGAACAGGCATAAAAAAGTGCTACAATAGTGATACTTTTTATTAAAGAGAGATGGTTATCGCCTTGTCCACAGTCAGGTAATTTGTCTAAATAATGCCTGTAATACTTGGAGCCGTCTCTAATAATTCATCGAGTGAACAAAGCAAGACCCGACGCAGTGCTGCTTCTCTGTCTGCAGTGGGGTCCCTTTGGAACTGTTGGTACCTGCAGTTGGTCCCACGCTAAGCATCAGGGTGTGCAGTGGGAGTGGGCGTAAGTCTGTTGATCTTGGTTCATCATGGAAAACCTGAGCCACAGGACAATTGTCATCACCACTGCTTTCATTCCTCTGTCTTTTGCAGCATGAAATGACTGAGAGGTGGAGGGATCCTTCCCGTGGTTACTGCGCCTCCCCCTTGATCAATGGGTAGCCCCACGCAGCCGTAGGTCACGGTGCAGTCAGGGCTCTGCAGCCCCTCAGTCACGTTTGGGCTCTGTCTTGCTGTAAAGGAATTCTAGGTGGCACTAACATAAATAGGTTTTCGGCTTTAGCAATGCCTGAGGCGTATACAGGAATTCTGCTTCTCCAGAATGGTCTAAGGCTTTTCATACTTCTCAGCAGTCATCTTGTCATTTGCTCAGGGTGAAGCTCAGCTCTGTATAGCAAACTCAACAACAGTCCTGGGCTGTGAGGCCTGCTTTTTAAGCCCTTTTTTTGGCAGCCAGGGTGGTATGTAAACTGTTCCCAAACTGTCCTCACAGAGGTGCCTTTTTTTTTTTTTAACTCTTCCTCCTTCCTCTGTGAAGACTTAAAAGTGTTGACATGGGAAATAACATCTTGGGTCTTTATATTTTGGGAAATAATACAGCTTGCCAGGCTGTGGCAAATTCTGTTGTAATTTTTTATATAAACATTTGCTTTCTGTTACAAATTAATCATATTTTTGAGTTTAATACTGTCTGTGATCTTTGAAATAATCCATTTGATTTTTATTTCTTTTGCAGCATGGATAAGAAAAAAAAGAAAGGATCCACCCACTATTGAGGTGAGAGAGATGAAGTGTCTTTAAATTTACAATTGTTGTAATTGAAGTACAATAATTAGTTTATAGTGGACTCATCTGTCTAGTAATTTGTCAGTTTTGGGGGAAGAATTTAATATGTTGCTTGCCTAATTGATAAAATTGTATACAGACTAGTTATCTAACACTCAGGAAAAAGGGAAACAAATGGAAATATAAACTCCAATGTTCTTTAGTTGCTACTTTTATCTACGTGAATTCTTTAAGATGATCTACATAGATTCTTTAAGATGATCATGGCCATTCATGAGTTTCCTTATTTAAATGAATTCTGAAATTACTGCTATGAACTTTTAAAATAGGTTCTCTATGTATTAATGCAAGTTTCTTTTCATGGTAGTTGACATTAAAATGTAGGTTTCAAATTCAGTTGCCAGTGGATTCATCAGTACAGGAAAACAAATTGCACTAACATTTTACAATGCTAACGAGATGGGGGAGTTGCACCCATGACTTTTTCCATAAGTGGTTTCTAATGAAATGAAGCAGGGAAATGCCCCTCAGTCTTTCATGCTGATGAGTTTGTAAAGAGTGGAATGAGTTTGACTGTTGATCTGTATATAAAGATGCACGCGCATGTGCTCCTTGCCCTGGATTTGTATTACAAGGTGAGAAGCACCAGCTGGGAATGGTCTACTACAGAAGATTCAAAACGACACCCACAGAGGCAGATACTTAACTTACATCACTAGGAGTAACTGCCAAATCCATTGAAGCGATGTTGGCATGCTGTGGCCAAAGATTTGGTCACGGAGATCTTTTGGAATATACTGGTTTGTGAAAAGTTGTCCGGCCTGCCTCTGTGTTGGGATGACCTGGGCGAGCTTTTCAGCTGATGTTTACAAGCCATAATTCATTGAAATGAGCTCCCATACAACTTAGAGCTCTTCAGCTAGTTCTGTCTGCTGCTGTTTCACACTTGCCACTGAGGTTGTAGAAGTAATAAGGGCTATAATACAGCCATGAATGGGAGAAGTTCAAGTTCAATTTATCCTCAAGACTTTTTATGACTTAAAGCAAATTAACACACTTTTCTTTGCATTAACATTTGGGGAAGTTTTAAGTGTGATTTTTTTTTTTATTTTTTTTTTCTCCTCCTCCCTATCCTAGTTCCTTGTACATCAGTGATACTACAGCAGTTGTTCTGTCTAAGCTTGGACTGATGTCCTTTTAAGTAGCTCTGGTTCATTCTAACTGTATAACTATATCTATAACATTTATCGGTGAAATTACCACCTCATGTGATACTTGAAGACAGGGAGTATTGCATATTTTTGTCCTATCATTTCCATGAGGCAGACTGCCGTGATAATTGTGCTAAGATAAACCTTCTCCCGGGAACACAGGCAACTTTACGTTTGGAATTGGTGTAGTAAAACTCCTGGCGCTGGAGATGTTGATTCTGTTTCAAAGCAAGGAGTCTCCACAGGTGAGAGAACTGTGGATCAATACTGTTCTAAATATTTGACCTTCCAGAAAAAGCAATTTATGGAGAATGAAATATTATTGTGAGTAATGGTGCATTCAGAGTTATAGGACTGCTTATACCTTCAGTTTGATGAGGTAATAGGTCTGAAAAATAATTTAGCATCTAGGTACTGTACCTGCAGGGCTGTGCATTGACCTTAGCAGAGCAGAAGTGATATACCAGAAATTTGAAAAGTAGCTATCTTTTCTTTCAAGTAATCTCTAAATTGTTTTTTCCTATATAAGAAAAAGTAGTTCAAATATATGTACAATAAAGATTCTTGCTGATGTTTTGAAAGTAATGCTGCAGTCACATTTTAAATATGTGGTAGTAAAGCTCAATTTTTTTTTCTGTATTACTGTAGAGTGGTTTGTATGATCTACTCTCCTGATCTGAAACAGTTATAGCACAAACCCTTATACCACAATACAATTATAAATATAATGATACTAGTGAAGTACATATAGACTACTGTTTGGTCCCTATTTGTAGGATTGATTTGCTATAGCGTTTTAGTTACATAAACTTTACTGGCTGCTATTTTGTATTATTATATTACCTTTTTGACAGTAATGCTGATATGGTAAACTTCTGTTTGACAGCAGTGGAACGAGGGGATGTTTGTGACCATATTTCATGTTGAAAACCTGTGTAACAAATCTGCTGGTTCTTTCACATATTTCTCATGAGACTAGACTATTTCTGAAAAAGGATGCAAAGTCCACAAATTTTGCATTTTTGCTTTAATGACATTTTACTGTCAACATCATATTGTAACACCACAAAACAGCATTACAGTTCCTAAAGCATAAGTTTCAAGAGCTGTGCCTATGTTCCTACCTTTGTGGTCTGTAATACCACTTTTTTTTGGATGGTTTTCGTTTTTTTCCTGTCCTTTGCCCATCATCTTTTTTCTTTCTAATATCAAATGACATACGCTAAACTTTACTAAAATTTCTGTTCCCCTTCTCTGCTGTTTGCCTACCATCCCTTGTTAGTTTTTTATGTTTGTTTTTTTTATATTTGTCAAATTTGTCTTTTATTCAGCTCTCAACTATGGATGGTAGAGGTTTCCAAACTGCACAGGCTGTCAGGTCTTATTATGAGCTCTGTGATCAAACTTTAATTGAAAATACTGCAGAGATATGGCTTCACAAATCAGCTGGATCTTCCTGATCCTACCGATAGCACTGATGACCACATTTGGGGAACCAATGGTTTGGTCAATATTGTAAGCCAACAAAATGTCATTCATAATCATCATGACATGTCAGTCACTTAAGTGAGAATGAATGTGAGTTGTCCTTCCTTACACTGGTCAAGGTCGCTGGGTCATGACACCAGCTAAGTCTGATGACGATGTTCTTAAGATCTGATAATGTTTTGGATTCAGGCCATCCTTTCTTCCACAGACACTTAACTGATCTTTTTTTTGTTTCCATTGTAAAGCTTTAATTTTCTCACAGAAGAAATTGCTTTACAACTCTTTTTCTTTAGATTCTATTACTTTTATTTTTTTATGGAAGAACACTCCAGTGACTTCACAAGACAACTTGTTCAGTGTTAAGTGTAACAGTTTCTTTCCTCCCTGTGCCCCGACAACTTTTCCCCATTTTTGGAGGAAGTCACTTAGACTTCATGTGTACTGGTCATAACCCAAGAATGCTGCTCATCCCCTTGGTTATTTCTAATCTGGTAATTTCTAATCATGTAAGGCATGTTAGTGGTTGGAAGCCTTGGGTTTTAAAAGCCAGCTTCTGGGATACAGGAAACAGTTGGCTGCCTTTTGATTTTATTACAGCTTGAAATATGCCAAGTCTCATTCTCAACTCACCTATGATGAGGGTGATAACTTTGCAAATGAATGCAGATCAAGTTGATTCTTATCTGGCACTTAGAAATATTCTGCTCCTATGGTAATCAGGGAGTCTGTCGTGGTAAAGAATTTTGGATCACATCTGCACGCAGTGTAAGCATGCATGTGTACATACACATACATATACATACTGCTTTATAACAGGTGAGAATCTGAACTTCTATGTGTGTATTTTTGCATTACTATAGCATTATGTCATCTGTCCCTTTATGTATATTGGATATGGTCATATATGATTGGCTGAGGAAAATTTGTCGTTACCTTTATTCCTATGCAGCTGTAAATATATTTTAACAAATTTAACAAGTGATGAATGATTAAGTAGACTATCACATTTCTTTATTATGTATATAGGAAACTAGATGTATGGAGCATGTTTTTGGGCCAATAGGAAATGTGTTCTTGTCTAGAGAGCTTATAGGTTCAAATTAATGAAAAAGTTTTAATAGCTACGAATATTAAAAATTTTTAATCAAATGCTATTTTGTGGAAGCAGATTTAATAAATTATCACTTTACATGCAAATTAGTTTACCTGCTAAGCATTAATGTTATCAGAATTTATTAACGAAAGTTGTCTTGGGATATACCAGTTGTTTTATAGGAGTGATGTTTCATCCATGCAAATTATTTCTTTAAGAGACTATTCCCTGACATTCTTTGAGCCGTAGTCCACTTACAGTATGGCTCATCAACTGGTTTGTAAAGTAAATGTGCTCTCTCGCATATGCTCCTACCTCCCAATTTTCCTTCTGGCTACAGATTTCACTCCTGATTTAAAACATGGCATCCTTATGTTTTGGATTTTTCACATCTCGGGTGCAGAGGAAAGAAGAAATGGTTTTGGGAGGCAGGGTGAAAATCCTTCTCTTCAGAATGGTTTTTGGGCTTATCTTGCCATTCCGTCACCAAAGCGGAACTCCCCAGATCTAAAAAGTACTAAGCAATGTAACACCTATAGGACCACTGTGGGTATGTCTCACTCTTTTTATGCACCTTCATGAATTTCAAGGAAAGGTCTGCTGATAGGAACTTCTAGAGAATTCTCAGCCCTTTGTTCATAGCAACTTGCATGGCATTCACAAGCTTTGCTGTATTCTGCATTTCCTGTTTTTGTTCTGGGTCACGTTCCCTTAAAAAAAAAATGCTTTATTTAAAATTTGAAATAGCTTTATGTAAATATATTAAAAATGCTAATGAAAGCAATTGCTATTTTCTGTTGGTGCAGCTCCTAATTGAGATAGTGGCTGGATGGCACTGTTTGGTTATGGTGCCTATTTCAATAGAGTATCTGTCTCTCATCTTTATACAATCAATGCATATTTAACACACAGCCAGGTTTTCCCCCACCAGGTAGTGGGAGGCATATCAAAATTGGTTTTGGTATCTTGTATCTTAAGACACCATTGAGTCCTCAGCTTCTAAACCTGGAAGGAACTAAGAGGCATATTTTTAAGCATTTAGCAAACCTTAAAAATATCAGGCATATAATGAGTTTTTAAGCCTTTCTGTGCCTAACTTCTGTTTGATTTCTTCAGTATTTCTGGTTTCAGAGGGCATCAAATTTGTAGGGGCTTTTAAAGAATCCTACTGTCTGGAACATGAGGTACCTGAATGTATT